CTCCTCCCTCTCCTCCTCCTCTCCCTCCTCCTCCCTCCTCCACCCTCTCCCTCCTCCCTCCCTCCTCCTCCTCTCCCTCTCCTCCTCTCCTCTCCTAAACTAACACGCTACTCTACTTCCCGGACGGTATAGGAACCACTGAACTAGCTACTTCCTCTCAGGGTCTTTGAGAGTGGTTGTGGTAGTAGTGGTGGTGGATGTGGTAGTGGTGGTGGTTCTGGTTATGACGGTAGTAGTGGTGGTTAGTTATGGTAATAGTGGTAGTAGTGGTGGTGGTAATGGTGGTGGTAGTGCTGATGGTTGTGGTAATGGTGGTAGAAGTGTTGGTAGTTGTGGTGATAGTAGTTGTATAGTGGTAGTGATATTTATAGTAATGCATCGATGGTTATAATGGTGGTTAGGGTAGTGGCAATTAGCAGTGAGAATGAGAGTACCATTATAGGTAGTGGTAGTGGTTATAAGAATTACCTGCGCTCGTAATTACAGCTAGTGGCAATCACCTTAATGGCATTGGTAGTGGTAAATAGTGGTAGCAGGAGTAACACAGGTATTTATACAGGTACTTGTGGTATTAGTGGTAGTAACAGGTAGTCGTAGTGGAGTACGAGGTAATATTAATATGTATTTTGGTTTAGTTAAATATATCCATTGGGTGAGTTTTAACAAAAAGTTCCTTGGTTAATAAACGTGTTAATCGGATTATCTATAATATTGTATACTACTCCAATGATATGTCTGAGTTATGTTTAATAACTGTATAATTAACCGTGTTTTATCGTCATTACAAACGAAAGTCCACACACACACACACACACACACACACACACACATAAAAAAACACCTTGGCAGTGACTCATGACAGACAAACGGACAGGTGACTCTCTCAGGTACACAGTTCGTGTCTTTTTCACGCTCCTGTAGTGAGTCACCTTCACCCGTGCCGACGAAGAGAGAGTCGGTCTGTTGTGTAGAGTCTCGGGATGATTATTTAGATTTATTACTATTATTATCATTACATTGAGATATTTGTTTTCCTTTGATTCCATAGTGTGTTTACTATTGCTAGTTTCCTTCTGTCGACTGTAAACAAAACCTGACGAGCCCCTGTAAATAAACTAGTGAACGGGACTGTATCTCATGTACTCACTCGGGGTACATGGACTCAAGGTTCAGAACTCTTGGCTTAGTACATAATGAACTGTATCCACACCTTCATGCCTATGGGAGCCATTTTCTACATCAACAGTGTTACGTCGTGTGAAAGATTTTTTTTTAAGTAAATGGCAACAAAGAAAAGATATAACGATGTTACCTTGACACATATGACACAAACTTACGAGCATTCTGTCAGCTGGATGAAAAAACAGCCACAATTCTATCAACTTGAGAAAAAAAAAACCCAGGCAATTTTGTCAAATGCACGGAAATAAATACCCCCATCTTTGTCAATTGGACGGAAAAAAATACCACATTCCTGTCAAGTGGACGGAGAAAGTGACCTAAGACTGTCAACTGGATGGAAAAATACCATGACTTCACCAGCCATGATAAAACAGAGAGAAAATGACTTTAGATACAGTGTGTGGAGACAGTGACGTCACACCAGAGCCAGAAAGTAAACAAACACTCGCCCTTGTGAGGAGAATTTCCCGCCAAATGTTGACATAAAAGTTTTCATCACACAGTTCCAGGGATTTTTATTTCAATTTTTATTAACAATTTTTATTTCCCCTACGATTCAGCCTCCTTATTATTGTATTCACTGCGCTTAGGTGAGTGACAGGTGAGTTACAAGCGAGCTACAGGTGAGTTACAGGCGAGTTGCAGGTGAGTTACAGGAATGAGAAGGACTCGTGGTTTGGGATCGATCGAGGGTCGATTTTTACGCCTCAACCAAGCCGGGGTAATACTGCGGTGGTGACGTCACGAGGTCTGGGGTCTGGCGGTATTATTGATCATGAGGGAGCAGTAACACCAGGGCGCAGTAACACCAGGGAGCAGTAACACCAGGGCGCAGTAACACCAGGGCGCAGTAACACCAGGGAGCAGTAACACCAGGGCGCAGTAACACCAGGGCGCAGTAACACCAGGGCGCAGTAACACCAGGGAGCAGTAACACCAGGGAGCAGTAACACCAGGGCGCAGTAACACCAGGGCGCAGTAACACCAGGGCGCAGTAACACCAGGGAGCAGTAACACCAGGGAGCAGTAACACCAGGGAGCAGTAACACCAGGGCGCAGTAACACCAGAGAGCAGTAACACCAGGGAGCAGTAACACACACACACACACACACACACACACACACTTCCTGAACTAGATACAATCTCTTGACATTAGTTAGGTGACATAATTAATATAAAGTGTTCATGGATGTCACCTCAGGTACAGTAACAACACGGTACAGTAACAACACGGTACAGTAACAACACACGGTACAGTAACAGAGGGCAGCAGAGGTAACGAACCATCACCTGACCTTTGGGATTCTCACTATGGAATCAATAGGCCTCAGTGTGTACCTCAGTGTGTACCTCAGTGTGTACCTCAGTGTGTGCCTCAGTGTGTGCCTCAGTGTGTGCCTCAGTGTGTGCCTCAGTGTGTACCCCCTGTACCCCAGTGTGCCCCAGTGTGCCCCCAGTGTGTGCCCCAGTGTGTGCCCAGTGTGTGCCCCAGTGTGTGCCTCCAGTGTGTGCCTCAGTGTGTGCCTCAGTGTGCACCCCAGTGTGTACCCCAGTGTGTGCCCCAGTGTGTGTGCCCAGTGTGTGCCCCAGTGTACCCCAGTGTGTACCTCAGTGTACCCCAGTGTGTGCCCCAGTGTGTGCCCCTGAGGTGCACCCCAGGTGTGCCCCATGTGCCCCCAGTGTGTGCCCCAGTGTGTGCCCCAGTGTGTACCCCAGTGTGTGCCCTGCACCCCAGTGTGTGCCCCCAGTGTGCCCAGTGTGTGCCTCAGTGTGTACCTCAGCAGGCGCCCCTGTGTGCCTCAGTGTGTGCCCCAGTGTGTGCCCCAGTGTGTACCCAGTGTGGTGCCCCAGCAGTGTACCCCAGTGTGCCCCAGTGTGTGCCCCAGTGTGTGCCCCAGTGTGTGCCCTCAAAGTGTGTGTGCCTCCAGGCACCCAGTGTGCACCCCAGTGTGTGCCCCTCAGTGTGTGCCCCCAGGCAGTTCTCTAGCAAAGCCCAGTGCACCTAGTGTGCACCTAAACCCCAGTGTAGCCCCAGTGCACCCCAGTGTACCTAAGTGTGTCCCTGTGCACCTGTGGTGCCTCAGGTGTGTTCAGGCCATGTGTACCCCAGTGTACCCAGTGTGTGCCCCCAGTGTGTGTACCCCAGTGTGTGCCCCAGTGTGTGCTCAGTGTGCCCCCCAGTGTGTGCCCCAGTGTGTGCCCCCAGTGTGTGCCCCAGTGTGCCTCAGTGGCACCTGTGCCCCTGCAACCCCAGTGTGTGCCCCAGGTACCCCCCAGGCCCAGGTGCCCCAGTGTGTACCCCAGCTCAGTGCACCCCAGTGTGTGCCTCAGTGTGTACCCCAGTGTGGCCCCAGTGTGCCCAGTGTGTGTGTGTGTCCCTCAGTGCAGCCTTCCCCAGGCACCGCCTCATGTGCCCTCAGTGTGTGCCCCAGTGTACCCCAGTGTGTGTGTACCTCCCAGTGTGTGCCCCAGTGTGCACCTGGTGTGCCTCAGCACCCCCCATGCAGCCCCTCATGTGTGCCCCAGTGTGTGCCTCCCAGTGTGTGTGCCCAGTAGGCCCCAGTGTGTACCCCAGTGCACCTGTGCACCCCAGTGTGTGCCCCAGTGTGCACCCCAGTGTGCACCCCAGTGCACTCAGGTGTACCCAGTGTGTGCCCCCGTGTGTGCCCCAGTGTGGCCCCAGTGCCCAGTGTGTGCCCCAGCAGGTACCCCAGTGCACCCCAGTGCACCCCAGTGCACCCCAGTGTGCACCCCAGTGTGTGCCCCAGTGTGTACCCCAGTGCACTCAGTGTGTACCCCAGTGTGTGCCCCAGTGTGCCCCAGTGCATGCACCAGCAGTGTACCTGTGTGTGCCCCAGTGTGCACCCAGTGGTACCCCCAGTGTGCCCCAGTGTACCTCAGGTGCCCCAGTGTGTACCCCAGTGTGCACCCCAGCAGGCACCCCAGTGTGTGCCCAGGTGTGGCACCCCAGTGTGCACCCCAGTGTGTGCCCCAGTGTGCACCCTCAGGCACCCCAGCAGGCACCCCAGTGTGTGTTCAGTGCACCCCAGTGTGTACCCCAGTGCACCCCATGTGTGCCCCAGTGTGCACCCCAGTGTGGCACCCAGGCACCCCAGTGTGCACCCCAGTGTGCACCCCAGTGTGTACCCCAGTGTGTACCCCAGTGTGTGCCCCCAGTGTGTACCCCAGTGTGCACCCCAGTGTGTACCCCAGCAGTGTGCCCCAGTGTGTACCCCAGTGCACCCCAGTGTGCACCCCTGTGTGTGTGCCCCAGTGTGTACCCTGGTGTGCCTCAGTGTGTACCCCATGTGTACCCCAGTGTGTACCCCAGTGTGTACCTCAGTGCACCTCAGTGTGCACCCCAGTGTGTACCCCAGTGTGCCCCAGTGTGTGCCCCAGTGTGTGCCCCAGTGCACCCCAGTGTGTGCCCCAGCAGTGCACCCCAGTGTGCACCCCAGTGTGTGCCCCAGTGTGCACCCCAGTGTGCACCCCAGTGTGCACCCCAGCAGCCCCAGTGTGCACCCCCAGTGCACCCCAGTGTGTGCCCCAGTGTGTGCCCCAGTGTGCCCCAGTGTGCACCCCAGTGGGTGCCCCAGTGTGTGCCCCAGGCACCCCAGCAGCCCCAGTGTGTACCCCAGGCCCCAGCATGCACCCCAGTGTGTGCCCCCAGTGTGTACCCCAGTGTGCACCCCAGTGTGCCCCAGTGTGTGCCCCAGTGTGTACCCCAGTGTGTGCCCCAGTGTGTGCCCCAGTGTGCCCCAGTGTGCCCCCAGGCTGCCTCAGTGTGGCCTCAGTGTGTGCCTCAGGGGAGCTGTAGTGATGGGTTAGTGAAGGTTATAAGAGTGTGGACTGGGGGAGAGATAGCCTGCCCCCCTAACCACTCACGTTAAGGGTCTCTGGTTAATGCCTGCCCCCTAGCCCTCACATTAAGGGTCTCTGGTTAACGCCTACCCCTACCACTCACGTTAAGGGTCTCTGGTTAAAGCCCTTGGTCAATGCCTAAGGTCCACACGCAGCTGATGAAGTGGTAAAGTTCTCCCAGGAGGATAACTTCCCATTCATTGGACACAAACACTTACCATTAACCTCTGGGTCATTGAGTTTTACATTGACCTCTTGACCTTTATTCAACCGACAAAAACAAATCAACATGATATTCAAAACGTAATATATGAGTTTAAAGGTGAGGGAACAGCGAGTTAAAACAGGAATAAAGAAAAGAGTGATAAATGACATAATAAGCAACAACAACAACAACAACCTCACCACCACCACCACCACCACCACAACAACAACAACAGCCTCACCACCACCACCACCACCACCACCACCACCAACAACAGCCACCACCACCACCACCACCACCACCACAACCAACAACAACAGCAGCCTCACCACCACCACCACCACCACCACCACAACCACCAACAACAACAGCCTCACCACCACCACAACCAACAACAACAACAGCCTCACCCACCACCACCACAACAACCAACAACAACAACAACAGCCTCACCACCACCACCACCACCACCACAACAACCAACAACAACAACAGCCCTACCACCACCACCACCACCACCACCACCACCACCACAACCACCAACAACAGCCTCACCACCACCACCACCACAACCAACAACAACAACAACAGCCCCACCACCACCACCACCACCACCACCACCACAACCAACAACAACAACAGCCTCACCACCACCACCACCACCACAACCACCAACAACAACAGCCTCACCACCACCACCACCACAACCAACAACAACAACAGCCTCACCACCACCACCAACACCACCACCACCACCACAACCACCAACAACAACAGCCCCACCACCACCACCACCACCAACAACAACAGCCTACCCACCACCACCACAACAACCAACAACAACAACAGCCTCACCACCACCACCACCACCACACCACAACAACAACAACAGCCTCACCACCACCACCACCACCACCACCACCACCACCAACAACAACAACAACAGCCTCACCACCACCACCACCACCACAACCAACAACAACAACAGCCTCACCACCACCACCACCACCACCAACAACAACAACAACAGCCTCACCACCACCACCACCCCCACCACCACCACCACAACCAACAACAACAACAGCCCCACCACCACCACCACCACCACCAACAACAACAACAACAGCCCCACCACCACCACCACCACAACCAACAACAACAACAACAGCCCCACCACCACCACCACCACCACCACCACAACCAACAACAACAACAGCCTCACCACCACCACCACCAACAACAACCAACAACAACAACAGCCTCACCACCACCACCACCACAACCAACAACAACAACAGCCTCACCACCACCACCACCACCACCACAACCAACAACAGCAACAGCCTCACCAACCACCACAAGAACCAACAACAACAACAACAACAACAGCCTCACCACCACCACCACCACAACCACAACCAACAACAACAACAGCCTCACCACCACCACCACAACAACCAACAACAACAACAACAGCATCACCACCACCACCACCACAACAACCAACAACAACAACAGCCTCACCACCACCACCACCACACCACAACACACCAACAACAACAGCCTCACCACCACCACCACCACCAACAACAACAACAGCCTCACCACCACCACCACCACAACCAACAACAACAACAGCCTCACCACCACCACCACCACCACCACCACAACCAACAACAACAACAGCCTCACCACCACCACCAACAACAACCAACAACAACAACAGCCCCACCACCACCACCACCACACAACCAACAACAACAACAACAGCCCCACCACCACCACCACCAACAACCAACAACAACAACAGCCTCACCACCACCACCACCACAACCAACAACAACAACAGCCCTCACCACCACCACCACCAACAACAACCAACAACAACAACAGCCCTCACCACCACCACCACCACAACCAACAACAACAACAGCCCACCCACCACCACAACCACCACCACAACCACCAACAACAACAACAGCCTCACCACCACCACCACCACCACCACCACAACCAACCAACAACAACAACAGCCTCACCACCACCACAACCAACAACAACAACAGCCTCACCACCACCACCCACCACAACCAACAACAACAACAACAGCCTCACCACCACCACCACCACAACCAACAACAACAACAGCCTCACCACCACCACCACCTCCACCACCACCACAACCAACAACAACAACAGCCTCACCACCACCACAACCACAACCAACAAAAAACAGCCTCACCCACCACCA